TTTTAGAATAGTGATTGATGGGGGAATCTGTGGTTGAAAAGTTTTAGATTTGTGTGTAATATTATTTTATTTGATGAATGTGTGGTTGAAATGAAGAGAGAGAAAAAATTAATGTAATGGAATTTAATTTAATGGGGCTCAAACGGAGGCATAATTTATCGTTGAACTGGATTATACATGAGTTCTGATACTGATGATTTAACATAAATATTTGTAGAGGAGAAGATAACAAGCAACTTGGCAAGATTCGTGCTGATTATATGGTTCTTGGTAGTTCTTATACTAACTCAAAGTTACACTGCAAGTCTTACATCAATGTTGACTGTTCAACAACTCCTGCCAACTGTTAAGGATATAAATCAACTTCTTAAGGACAAAGATTATGTGGGATACCAACAGGGTTCGTTTGTTTTTGAACTTCTAAAGGGAATGGGTTTTGATGAGTCTAGACTTAAACAATACAATTCTCCAGAGGAATGTAATGAACTTTTCTCGAACAGAAGTGGAAATGGAGGCATTTCTGCGGCTTTCGATGGGATCCCATATATAAAGCTTTTCCTTGCAAAATACTGCTCAAAATACACCATGCTTGACCCAACATACAAGACTGGTGGCTTTGGCTTTGTCTGTATCCCCCTCTCTGTCTATCTATCTCCCCTCCACCCCAGGAAACAAAAAAGGGGTACATTTCATTGCGCTGTGTTATTTATTTATATATTTTTGACTTTCAGGCTTTCCCAATAGGGTCACCTCTAGTACCTGATGTCTCAAGAGCAATATTACATGTGACAGAGGGCGAAAAGATGGCGGAAATCGAAAGAAAATGGTTTGGTGAAAAAACTAAATGCCCAAATTCTACCACATCACTTTCATCCAACAGCATTGGACTTGAGAGCTTTTGGGGACTTTTTTTAATAGCTGGAATAGCTGCAGTTTCAGCTCTTATAATCTATATCATTATGTTTCTACGTGAACACTGGAATGTTTTACGATGTTCTGATTCCAATTCCTCAATACGGAGCAAACTTCTAGAGTTATTTCGACATTTTGATAATAAAGATCTCAGTTCTCATACTTTCAGAAACACTGGACTGAGAGAAAGAAACATCGGGTATGGTGACTGCATGGAGAGAAAAGAGAAAGTCTCATCCCACGGTAATTGCTCACAAACTCCACAAAAATTTTCATTGAATACTTCTCCGCATACCAATCCACCAAGTCCAACTTTCTCAAATGGCACAGAGCAATATTTAGATTCTCCACGAGATCAAATGAATACAACAGAGAATGTGATGATAAATTCTCAATCGGAAGCAGCTCATGTGATTAATCCAGAAATTGAGCTTGTGAGTCCGAATCAAGATTTGCAAATGGCAGCAAGATCCACAAATGAAATTCATTGACTTGGTATATATTTGTAAGTGAAACTCGTTACTCTTCTTTCTTAGCATAATTTTAAATATTATGAATAAGATATTTTCTTTCAGCTTCTTGATATACTAATTCGCCATTGTTATTTTTCTGAAGCTGAGATCACTTTTCGCTACATTTTAGAACCTAGTTAAATTCGTTTTGCAGTTATCCTAGTATCTGCAGATATCCAACTCAACATAAAGAAATGTATTTAAGGGAAATGGAAATTTAAACTTGCAAAATCGAGTAATCAAAATATTTCCAAGGCAGTAGGCAGTGGAAGAATAGTGTTAGAGCAGTATATCTACATTGTCAACATCATATCGAATCAATATCAAGAGAGGAAATGCACGATAAAAGAAATCCTAGTTCCTTGGAAATAAATTGCTAGTAATCAGATAACATGTGAAACATCCCGATTAAACCAGTGAAGTACAGAAGTAAATATATCACAATCTAAACATCTTTTTTGGTTTTTCTCCCTGTTGCAGTCAAAATTTCAGGCTTCCATTGTTGATCAACTAGAAATAAACAATAACCATGCAGTCATTTGAGAGCAACATGCTATTACCATCAAAACAAAGCAGTGCGGTTCTTGAGCATATGAATGAAAACTGTGTCTTTTATTTTCTTAAAATAGAAAATCACATTTGAATTTGGTTGAAAAATATTAATGTGGAGAGGAAATATTAATATTGTTGATTCGCTTCATCCAACAAAGCTTCTAAATCTGGACAAAGCTCTAGACATTGTCTATTTTATGTGTCATATCAACTTGACGGAGTACCTATCAACTTGCATTGGAGAGAATTTTTAGACATGATTTATTATTGCATACGTGGCACAACTTTTAAGCAATCCACAGTTGTAGTGGAGATGCTTTTAGAATTACGGAGGCTTGTTCTTTACAACAATAGCTTGACACAAAATCTGGATAAACCGACACAAATTAAAATTGAAATTTCACCTCCAAGTATCAAGTGAAAAGAATGCGAAAGAATCATTAATAAATTAGATCAAATGTACATTTTAAATAAAGCTATCACCATTCAAATGGCAATAAAACTCAGTTAGTCTCGTCTCATGCATCTCACTCAAAGGCTATTCAGCTTTCTATATTTTCTAAAAGATTCTTCTTCAGCTAATCAAATATGTTTCTGATTTGGCGGCAGGCTCTGCCACTTCCTTATATGGGCAAGATTACTTGAGCCTGATCTTGAAATAACAGTGCCACCTTCATGGATTCCATGCTCCTTTAAGAAAGTTCAGTATTATTGTTATTGGTGGCGACTACTTGGGACTGGTTTAAGAAGTAACTTATCAAGGGTTTCTTTTCTCAAAAAGGAACAAGCCCAAACTATAATTATCTGCGTCCGGCCCCTGCAACCATGGTATATTTTGAGCAAGACTTTGCTAGGAAAAGATTCAGGTAGGGAATTTCGTCAAATTATCCGACTACACTCCCATTTTGAAGAGCAGCATGCAAATAAGCAGGAGTCCTAAATGTCTTCATCTGTGACTTGGGTACGTTTAACTGTTCCAGAATCCCCACCACAAATGTGTTCTTCTGATAAGCCACACTCTATCCGCTCTTGACAAGATCTTGTATGTCGATAATACTTGGTTGTAAGTTATTCAACTGTTAACATTGAAGACAAGCTAGTTGTGTAAATAAGGACCACGAAACACCATATGATCACCATGAACTTGTTGGAATTTGGTTTTGAAAGATTGAAATTTGGTCAAGTGATAAAACAAAAATTTGAAAAAAATGACTTTCGTATCAATTTTGGCCAAATATTCGGACTTGATCCGATGGTCAAATTACAAAAGTAAATATACCAACTTGTTCTACTCATCGAGTAGATCGTCGTGGTATATTTGAAATCTCAAAATCAATTTCGAATGAATGAGAAATTGTGGTCCAAAGTTGGGAAGAAAATAGAGGAACCTGTCTGAAAAATTGGCAAATGCTGTTGCTAGCGTATGGCCAGCGACAGGCTAGTGAAAAAGACACTGTTTTTATCGCTCAAGCAAGGCAATAGCAATAGGTTAGTGATAGTGAATGGTGCGACCTTTGGCAAGAGTTGTTGAGCTTAGGGCACTGCATTCCATTCACAACCCTCATCCTCTATATATAGGACCCATTGGACGTCCATTTTGCATCCCATACCATATGTGCATTGTGCATTCATAAAACATCTTACAAAAATTCTCCCAAATTCATTTCAAAAAAATTTTCCTTGTAGAGATGGAATTTCGTCACATTCGTCGTTGTCTTGTGGTTTGAAGTACTACTATCACAAGAATTGAATCCGTTGTATCTTGGGAGACATGTAACAATAATCGTGAGCACCGTAGTGAGGCAATATTGTCTTAAGGAGAAAGTGTCATCACTTGCCTTAGATTATCATTTCCTACTTCTTATTTTGTTTTGGTTTTCATTTGTAGTTATTATACTGCAATTTTTCCCACCTTTTAAAACATTGTGTTTAACTATGCTTCTACGGGTTAAAATTTTGTTCATTTGATCACATTAACAACATTTTCTCGCTATCATATACGCCCCGGAACGACAATCTTAAGACAATATTACGTGTGGTTTGTTGTTTTCAAACCCGTATTTGTCATCTTTGGAATAGTCTTCGTGTACTATTCTTTCCCCTTTTATTGTTGCTACGTTAATCTTCTGTTAAGTAACAGAAATGAGTACCATAGATGCTACCTCGAGTGAACTTAGTATGAACAATGTGGTTCCGCCTATGGTAATACCACTATAAAATACTGCGATATCACATGGGGAGAAGCCGAAAAAGTTTGGAGGTGTAGATTTCAAGAGATGGCAACAAAAAATGTTGTTCTATCTTACTACACTCAATTTGGCAAAATTTTTGAAGGATACTCTGCCAGCCATACAAGAAGGAGAGAATAATCGTGAGTCGATTATTGTCTTGAATGTATGGAAGCATTCTGATTTTCTGTGTAAGAACTATATCCTTAATGAATTGGACAATACACTTTATGGAGTGCATAGTTCGAAGGACTCGGCCAATGATTTATTGTATTCATTGGAAAAGATGTATAACACCGAGGACGCCGGAACAAAGAAGTTCATAGTCGGCAAGTTTTTGGACTACAAAATGGTGGATTCCAAAACGGTGATCAGCCAATTGCAAGAACTTCAAGTTCTATTACATAATATCCATGTCGAAGAGATGGAATTGAGTAAATCCTTCCAAGTGGCTACCATTATCGAGAAACTCCTTCCTATATGGAGAGATTTCAAAAACTATCTCAAGCACAAATACAAGGAGATGAACTTGGAAAAATTGATCGTCTGTTTAAGGATAGAGGATGGCAATAGGAAGACCGAGAGAAGGTCTATTGTCCAACTTGGAGCCAATTTTGTTGAAACAGAACCAAAGGTTGTCAATAAGAAGTGTTGGAGGCCTTTAAACTATGTAAGGCTGAAGTTGAAACTCAACTCGATAAATGAATAAAGAATATCCGTAGTGATGGAGGAGGTGAATACGGGGCATCGTTCAAAGAATTCTGTTTTGAACATGGAATTATTCATCAAACAACGACACCTTACTCTCCTCAATCGAATGACATTGTTGAACGCAAAAATTGAACTCTCAAAGAGATGATGAATTCAATGTTGTTAAGTTCGGGCTTATCGCAGAACTTGTGAGGGGAAGCTATTATAATGGCATATAGTCTTCTTAATCGGATACCCCTAAAGACCATGGAAGAGACTCCATATGAATTATGGAAATGCCATCCTTCGTCCTACCAAAACTTGAAAGTGTGGGGGTGTTTGGCTAAGGTTGAAGTACCTAGGCCTAAGCAAGTGAAAATTGGACCCAAGACGATTGATTGCATATTTATTGGACACATCAATAATAGTAGCACATATCATTTTCTTGTACACAAGTCTGAAATTCAAGATATACATGAGGGTGCCATAATTGAATCAAGGAATGCAACTTTCTTTGAGAATGTGTTTCCTTGTAAAGTAAAGGAAACTACAAGTTCAAATAAAAGAACTTATGATACTACAAATGGTACTTCATATGAGAAAGAACCAAGGCATAGTAAAAGGGCAAGAATATCTACTTCAGTTGGCCCAGATTTTCTAACCTACATGGTAGAAAATGATCCAAAGACTTTCGATAAAGCCGTGTCTACACCGGAAGTACCGCATTGGAATGAAGCTATCAACAACGAAATAGATTTCATAATGCAAAATCATACATGGGAGTTAGTTGATTTACCTCATGGGAACAAGCCTTTAGGATGTAAATGGATATTCAAAAGGAAATTGAAACCTGATGGATCCATTAACAAGTATAAGGCTCGGTTGCTTGCTAAATGATATAGGCAAAAATAAGGACTTGAGTTCTTTGATACCTACTCACCCATAACTAGAATCACTTCAATAAGGTTACTAATTGCAATTGTGGCAATACATAGCCTTGGGATTTATCAAGTGGATGTAAAAATGACAATCCTAAATGGCGAGTTAGAAGGGGAGATATACATGGAGCAACCTGAAGGGATCATTTATCCTAATAACAAACATAAGGTTTGTAAACTTGTTAAGTTCTTGTATGGATTAAAACAAGCTCCCAAACAATGGTATCAGAAGTTTGACAAAACGATGTTTTTAAACGTATTCAAAATCAACGAGTGTGACAAGTGTGTATATGTAAAACACATACCAAATGTCTATGTGATTGATGTCTTTATGTAGATGACATGATAATGGGCAATAGTCATGAAATGTTGCTAAACACCAAGAAAATGCTAATGAAGCATTTCGACATGAAAGACATGGGTGTGGTTGATGTGATACTAGGGATTGAGATCTCTAAAACATCGGAAAAAAATTGTACTTTCCCAATCTCACTACATTGATAAGATACTTGAGAAGTTTAACGTGCTTGAGGAAAGTCCAGCAAAAACCCCTATTGACACAAGTGTACATTTGGTAAAAAATAGAGGGGAATATGTCACAACTAAGGTATTTACAAGTGATTAGCAGTTTAATGTATATTATGAACTGCAATCTGCTAGATATTGCGTATGCTGTGAATAAACTTAATAGATTCATAAGTAATTCAAGTCATGATCATTGGAAGGCTTTGACAAGGGTTCTTAGGTATTTGAAGTATACATTAACCTATGGATTACACTTCACAAGATATCCTGCAGTATTGAAAGGATATTGTGATGCGAATTGGATATCCAACATGAAGGATTCCAAGTCCACTAGTGGTTATGTATTTACCATAGGAGGAGCTGCTATCTCATGGAAATCGACAGAGCAAATGTGTATAGCTCTATCAATGATGGAATCAGAGTTCATTGCTTTGGACAAAGCTAGAGAAGAAACAAAATGGCTTTATAACTTTTTGAAAGATGTTCCATGTTAGCCTAAGCCGATACTCGCGATTAGTAGACATTGTGATAGTCAATTAGCTATTGGACATGCTAGAAGCAGCATGTATAATAATGGTAAGTCTAGATATATATGTCATAGACACAATACCATTAAGTAGGCCTAGGCGTGGTTTGGTTTGGGTTGGTTTCGACCTCAACCCGAAACCAAAACAGAAGTAGTCGGTTTAGGTGAATTTAAAACCAAAACCAATCCATTCTCTTTCTTAAACCGAACCAACCCAAACCACATCGGTTTGGTTTGGTTTCTTGTTTTGGATTTTTAGATAATGTCGTATTCTAATTTATAAAGAATGGACGCAAACAGTGAACAATAGATCAATAATTCAGATTCAAAACGTATATCCAAGTACCAATAACCAAAATAAAATATCAATAACCAATAAAATCCAAATTCA